GGTTGGGGGGGGGGGGGGGTGGTGTTGTTTGTTTGTTTTGGGTTGGGGTTTTTTTGGCTCACAACTTACTGGGTCGCTATAAAAATACGAAAATTATCAGGGTGTCTTTAATTAAAAAAAAAAAAGGCAGAACCCTTGAAAGTTTAGCCTTTATTCTTTATTTGAAATACCAGGGACCAATAAATGATACCAGAAAATCACCAGCCTGGTGGTGATAAAATAACCCTTAATCCTTTACATTTCTAAACTGCTCTGAGACACTGAATTTAAATGTATGTCCATGTCCCTTCACAAAACTTTAACATCCACAAAATTCAGAACAATTCTGCTAAATCTGCCATTTCCTCACTTGATTCTTCAATGGTATTTTTGTAACTCTTCTCATGTCTTCCACTACCTGTGATTTGTGACATGCTGATATAAAGAATACAAACAGATCAGTGGATGAAAAGCTTTTCCTCTGTTTTGAAAACAGCACATTGCAAAGTCATTATTACTCCTACTTTAACCTACTTAAATATTACACATGAAGTGTTGATAGGCCTCAACTGGAAAGATGTAAACATTTTATAAAAACAACTCAAGATAGAAACCTTTAAAGTTGTATTCCTTTTTTGCCTAGAAACTAAGCACTATACTGCCTTTTATGAACTAAATTTAGGAGGCCTGTTGAAACAGCATATTTTAAATGATACCAAACCACTGCTAAAAGTAAAGCATATCAATCTCTATTGACCCAGCTTTAAAAAAACTTGGTCTATCATATTTTAAAAGGCAAGCACAGTTGAGCTAAGAAACAGCTACCTGTCTGGCCAGCAACACATTCCAAGATAAAACACCAAAAAGTATTAAATTATCCATTTCATCTGATAAGAACTTAAACTAATTAAAGCATTATCAAAAGTGTCACTTTTTAATAGTTGGAAAAGAATCTCTAAATTAGAAAGTACACTACCAAGATAAACTGTCTTTGGAATTTTTAATTTTCTAAAACATCACTCACATCCTATTCACAGAATTGCTTCTTTCAGGTAGGGAGAGATTGAAATAAGCACGTTAACTGAGAGCTTCCGGGAATGCAAATAGTAAAAAGAAGGAATTTTTTTGTAATTTTTTCCAAAAATCTCCCAAACTTTAAAAGGCAGATATGTAAAACCCACCTGATTTGGCTAGCTCCTGTACTCAAATTCAGCATGAAGATATTTATTGTTGTTTTCCAGGAGAGAAAAAACCAAAACAAACAGAAAAAACCCCACCAAACAAAACAAAAACCCACACACCACAAAAAAACCCAACAAACAAACAGTGTCACAAAGTTAAGGACAGATTTTAACCATTTTCAAGTAACTTCAACAAAAGGAAATGCTCATTAAGTTCTTAAGTGTTTAAAACAGCATCTCTACAGAAGATGTGCCACAGTTCAGGTACTTTAATATATTGTTCCAGCAGCTTTTCCTCTGTCAGTTGCTACAGCTGAACATATTAGGCCCTACCTGTTGCTGAGAAACTACTGTATGGACATAGCTTGTAATTATACCCAAAGAAAACAGAAAACTTTGAAGTTGTCCAAGCAAACAACTACAAAACATAGTGTGCCCAAAAACTCATGCTGTCATCTAGGACAAATAAATAAAACCAGCATTTTGATGACTTACAAATGCAATAATCTGTGAAGTCACTTTGTTCTGCAGAAGCTAAAGTTACGTGGAGTCTGATAAATGTCAGATGCACATACAGCAGCAAGGGTCAAAATTTTGTAACAGCAGCCCCCTCTGAACTATGTGAGCCTAAACAGGCGTGCTAAGTAGGTATCTAACACCTGTTTAGCCACTTTCCTTTTCAACCCAGAAATACGTCTTCTTCGCACTTCTAGGATTTTTACATAATCAGCATATTTCTGCCTCTCCTGAAACTCAGCTCTTGCAGATTTCTCCCTTTGTTTCCCCAAAAGAACTATTTGATGCTAGTCAGCCCCATATTAACGCAAATAAAGTATCAGGCTTAATATCCTTGACTGTGTCCTTTTAAAAAGCAAACAAAAAAAAAATCTTCTTAAAGTACAAAGGTTTATTATTGCTGAACAAATGTAATAAAAGCCACATTGTTTGTACTTG